CCATTTTTATTACTTTTCTTAGTAATTTTGCGATACTGACTTCAGCCGGTTGCGCTTCTTTGATATCTAGGATTCTAATAACCTCAAGGTGTCAGAGCTACGGACTACAAGCCTCATTCTCATCGTCGGTTGTAGCCGTCTTCAGAGGCACGCCAAGGACAGCACATTCAAGGCCGTTTCCACAAAGAAATCGCTACCGGAAGTCGTCAACAAGAGCGCGGCTGCGCGATACCGATAAGGAAAACTGTTCGCGGTAGTGCCAACGAAGTTCCTTGTTGCGTCTGTTTCAAGTAGGTTAGCTTACGATGACATCCGTGTAGGATATCAGTGTGCTCAAAAAACATAGAGCGATTGTCAAGGACTCGTGCACGTGGATTCACACATACGTTGACGCGATTTCCTTTGCCACCCCGGCTATTGCTGTTCAGCTTGAGGAACGCAGGATTAAGTTAGACGAATATTGGTCACAATATAACACAATACAAGCGCAGATAGAGTTGCTTGACGAAAATGAGGGCAATGACCGGGTCGGCTTCGAGGAAGCACATTATTCGCTTTGCGCAAAGATTCGCGAACTTCTCAATCCGATATTAGCTCCGCGGGCACAACCGATGTCACCGTTTACGTCGGACGCATCAATCGATTGGAAAATCAATGCAGTGTCAGATTGCCCAAGTTGAATCTTCCAACGTTTTCTGGTAAATACGATGAATGGTTCCCATTCTTCGATTCATTCAATTCAGTTATACATTCAAACGCGTCAATAAGTGACATACAAAAATTGCAATACTTAAAGAACTTAAAGTCTTCACTTATCGGTGACGGGAGTAGCGTGATCAGTGCATTGGAGATCTCCGCCGTAAATTGTCAAATAGCGTGGGATCTTCTAAAGGAACGTTATAACAGACGAATGATCGTTCACACGCACATTAAAGCAATATTAGATTTACCCTCCCTCACCATGGAAGATTCAACCGAGCTGCGGCAAATCACGGACGGGGCAATCCGGCATGTATAAGCCCTCAAGGCACTCAAATGTCCCACGGCGTACTGGGACGATCTGTTAGTATACATTCTAACCTCAAAATTCGATGCACGCACATTACGAGAATGGCAGTCCTCATTAACAGGTACTGAAACTCCCACGTTTAAACAATTTTACGATTTCTCAACATTGTTTAGTATTAGAGACTACAAGCAAAGTCAGTGTCGCTTCCAAGGACACTAACAAGCATTCACAAACAAACGCTAAACGACAATCCACATGTGCAGCAGGTTAAATCCAAGTGCAACTATTGCAAGGGCGAGCATCCCATGTATTTCTGCAAGGAGTTCTTGGCACTGCCGATCAAGCAAAGGGCAGTAGAGGTACGCAATCGTAAGCTCTGTGTCAACTGTCTCCGCTCTCCGATGCATCCATTGGACAAATGTACATCCAGAGGTTGCAAGGTCTGCAACTTCAAACACAATACGTTGCTACATACGGATACCAAATCGTCGGAGGATCACTCCGGCACTTCCGACAATATAAAGGAATCAAGTAAGCAAAATTCCACGACAACTGTGACGACACATTCATCGAACAATCAAGGCAAGGACACAGTATAAGTAAGTACAGTAGTTTCACTCCGTGTCGGTACCTTTGATCTATGTGTCCTACAGTCAGCCATGTTGTTGGTTGTGCGAGGCCTTTTGTTTTCACTGCACACATCGATACCACAGTGACACACAGTGACACAGTATCCATACATGACATCGACGCCATGATGACAGTGGTGCAATTCGCGCACCCATAAATTTTGGAGAGTGAAACTACTGTACTTACCTATACTGTGGCAAGGACCATATCATGCTTTCCACAGCTGTGGTTAATGTCATTGCCTCCGATGGCACATCGCATCCATGCCAAGCTTTACTAGATTCTAGATCTCAAGCAAGTTTCATTTCGAAACAACTCGCCATAACTCTTGGTTTACCGCTACGTCCGCTAAACGTCACAATATCTGGCGTCAACAGTATCACGTCAAACGCTACAATGGCGACCAAGGTAACGCTGCAAATCCAGATTGAATTCTTATTGTAGGACGGCAGACTGCTAGTAACAGAGCGGGTAACCGAGAAGCTTCCAGTGACTACTTCAAGGCGTGGAGACTACAATATTCCTCGAAATCTCAAGCTAGCGGACCCCCATTCAACGTTTCTTAAAGATCGACATTTTGATCGGAGCAGAAATATTTTGGGAGCTGCTCTGTGTAGAACAAATCGAGGCCACTCAAACCATCCGACCCTGCAAAGAACAAGGTTAGGGCGGATTCTGGCTGGACGTCGCAGCGACACAGCGGCGCCTGCAGAAAACGTGCAAGCGTTTACCACAGTCATACCCAATGCTCAATTGCATGATCAACTGACACGATTCTGGCAAATTGAACATCTCGGCGATCATGTGATGGACAACAGAGACGATGCTTACTGCGAGGAGCATTTCGTAGCTAACGTTAATCAGAACGAACAGGGCAGATACGTGGTAAAATTTCCGATCAAGGAAGAATTAATCGGCAACCTTGGCAACACAAGGGACATTGTATTGCGACGTTTACAAGGAACAGAGCGTCGGTTCATTCGGGATTCTAACTTAAGGGACCAGTATGTCCACTTCATGGACAAATATCTGAAACTAGGACACATGAAGGAAGTCAGCACGTCTCCACTTGAGGATACAGCATCTTTCTACTTGCCTCATCATATTGGCGTCTTCAAGGGCACTAAACAGTCATCTAAGATTCGTGTCGTTTTCGACGCTTCAAGTAAGAGCGACACAGGATCATCATTAAACGACGTCTTGAGAGTCGGTTCAGTGGTGCAGCAAGATTTGATGTCAATCGTAATGCGATTCTATATCTTTGCTCACGCTCTGATCGCAGACATTATAAAAATGTACCGACAGGTGCTTATACACCCTTCGCAAACATCTCTTCAGAGGATTTTGTGGCGCAGCGACTCTAAGGCGGATATCAAGACCAACGACATATATACATAGACCGAGCATTCTGTTCTTAGCTTGAAGCCGGAAGTTGGCAGTTTAACTAGTTCCGTTGCATCTCTTTCTACCTTGAGAGAGAAAGAGAAGTTGAGTGCGTTTTTAACAGTCGCAAGTGTAAATAAACAGGTCAGAAAGTGCGATCATAAACATATGAGATAAAATTATTTGATTTTGAAATAATGTTGAAAATACATCAAACTTATTCAAATAATTATTATACAAACTTAATTATATTTAACTAATGATAGTAAAATTTCTATTAATATAATCGAGTGATATATTTATCGCAACCTAATCTAACCAATTAACTTAGGCATCATTTATATAACATTTTTCTAAATTTGCTCAGTGAACAACATTTTTTTCGTTATTTTCGTGTTTCTCTCTGGAATCAACGGAATCAACAATATAATATGAAAAAGGTTATGTGCTCTTGACAACACTAGTCGCAGAAAGTGTAGACCACGGTACAAGAAGGTTGGTTGGAAAGAATATAACTGAATATACCGCGAGATAAAGTGAGGTCTACTTAAACTGACAATTTCCGGTTTCAACCCCCACTACTGAAAAGCATGAGAATGCTCGGTCTATGTATATATGTCGTTGATCAAGACATACGAACTGATGACAGTGATATATGGCACGTCATCGGCTTCCTTTCTAACAACCAGGTGCATCAAACATCTAGCCGACTGTCATTCGTCGATGTTTCCCCTTGGATCGGCGTGCATAAGGCGTGACTTTTATGTTGACGATCTACTAACTGGAGCAGACACCATTCAAGAAGCGAAAACTCTTCGAGATGAAACGATCGGACTACTGAGGCTAGGCGCATTTGAGCTTAGAAAATGGGCTTCCAACACCTCAGAATTGCTGGACGCAATACCTAACAGAAATGACAAACCCGTTGTCATCAACGACGACGAAAGCGCTCACATCTTGGGGATCAAATGGAACGCCAATACAGACACATTACATTTTTCACACGACCCCGTCATCTCACATGACACGATTTCAAAGCAAAAAATTCTATCGGACGTTTCCAAATTGTACGACCCGCTAGGCTTGCTAGGTCCTATCATCGTCATTGCCAAGTTAATACTGCAAGATCTTTGACGAGCAGGCATCGATTGGGACGAGTCAGTTCCTCAGAATTTATACGTGCGATGGATCACCTTTAAGTCACAGCTGACGGAGCTTAACCAACTAGCAATTCCTAGACGTGTCAAATACGGTATTGAACGTCAACGTATACAAATACATGGCTTCTGTGATGCCAGTCAAAATGCATACGGAGCATGCGTGTACATTCGGACTGAACTCGATGCGAATAAGTATTGTTCAGAACTACTTTGCTCGAAATCAAGGATTGCGCCGTTGAAGGCTGTATCATTGCCAAGGCTGAAACTATCTGCAGCACTTCTACTGGCACGGCTGATGGATAAGATTCGATTGTCAATAGATACGTCTGACATTAAGGTGTATTTATGATCGGATTTAACAATTACATTGAACTGGATATCCTCAGAACCACGCATGTTTTCAGTTTTCGTCGCAAACCATATAAGGGAAATACAACGATTGACTCAAACGACGGATTGGCGACATGTATCGTCCGGTCAAAATCCAGCCGACTTACTTTCACGAAGGTTGAATCCGAGCGATTTAATTCATGCAACCACTTGATGGAAGGGCCCCGATTTTCTGCAGCACGATGAGAGTTTCTGGCCCGCCAATCAATTTTTACGTCAGGAGGACACCTCCGAACTTCGAAAAATACATGTTAACATTGCAGTCGTTGACACCAGTGTCATAGAAGACATACTCAACAAATATTCAAACCTTGACAGAGCTTGTCGCATTGTGGCATATTGCTTGAGGTTCTTACGGAGACCTGCAGGCATTACAACACAGAGAAACTTTCGTTTCTCACGAAGAGGTCACAGCAGCATTGCAACTAATGTGCAGGATTGTGCAACAGCGTTCCCTTCCCGAGAAGTACAAGGCCTTGAGTAATAACAGGAGCCTCGATGCGTCTAGTAGAATTTTGACACTCAATCCATTTCTCGACGACGGATTAATCAAGGTTGGAGGTCGATTGAAACATTCAAATCTAACACAGGACGCGCGTCATCCGGTGCTGCTACCGAAAAATCATGAGCTATCAAGACGAATCGTCACGCAAGCGCATGTACATAACTTACATGCCGGCACCCAGGCTACAATGGCCGCCGTCCGACAGCAATTTTGGCCTTTAGCATTGCGATCTCTAACACGAAAAATCATTCTAAAGTGCGTTAAATGTTTTAAGGTTAAGCCTGTTCATTCAGAAGCCATCATGAGCTCCCTACCTTCTAGTCGTATCACTGTTTCCTGGCCATTCTCGTATTGCGGCGTGGACTACGCCGGTCCGTTAACTTTGCGAGAGGGAAAACGCAGAAACGCGCGCACTCACAAAGCATATATCGCCATGTTCGTATGTTTCGCTACTAAGGCGGTACACGTGGAACTAGTTAGTGATTTAACCACCGACACATTCTTGACAGCCTTCAAAAGGTTTATATCGCGCAGAGAGAAGCCTTCCCACATGTGGTCAGGTAATGGCACTACTTTCGTAGGTTCCCGTCATCGTTTGCGCGAATTCCTTGATTTTCTGGAAAAAGATTGCATACAAGATGAAATCTGGTTATTTTTGCATGATCAGCGAATAACATGGAACTTCATACCACCCAACGCTCCACATTGTGGCGGAGGACTATGGGAAGCCGCGATAAAGTCTGCAAAGTTCCACCTATATAGTATAATCGGCAACGGCCATTTGACTTTCGAAGAGATGCAGACTATTTTTTGCGAGATAGGAGCAATATTAAATTCACGGCCCATCGCTCCATTGAATGAAGACCCTAATGACCTTGCTTATTTGAGCCTCGGACATTTTCTAATCGGCACTACCATAGACAGTTTTCCTTGCCACGATTTGAGCGACACAAACGAAAATAGGCTCGTCCGTTGGCAACGTGTAGAACAATTAAGACAACATTTCTGGCGACGGTGGAGTTCAAAATACCTCCACACTTTACAAGCGCGTTTCAAATGGAAAACTAGCAAAGAGGATCAATTAAAGATCGGTCAAGTCGTACTAATAAAGCAACAGGGTTTACACCCTCTTCACTGGCTGTTAGGACGCGTACAAGGGGTCCATCCGGGCACAGACGGTGTTATAAGAACCTCTGAGATAAAAACGGCAAAGGGCGTTCTTACAAAACCGTTAACTAGGATAGCGATATTACTATAGATGACTCCGGTGATGAACGCTAGACATCCAGTATGTTCTGTCTTTATGCGTGACTTTATTATGTTCAACCTAGGTTAAGCACATCAAAATTGTATTTGCGTTTACACGTATCAAGCATTGCAGCGTCGCATATTTTGTTAACCCTCAACGTTAATTTGTTTCTAATTTCGCAAGGCTCTGGAAGCTTGCGTTGCGGTGACGATCCAGTTGCCGTTTTCCTTTCTTGTTTTACTTTGCGTTTACATTTTGAAAGCGGAGCCTTTCAAGGGCGGCGGCGTTGTATAATAGTACATTGTGTAACCGTGGGGGAATGTTGTTTATTGTGGGGACGGCACAAGCGAAGCGAGTGCGTACGCGCGCCCGTGTCGACCTATAAACAAATATGCCCCCACTGTTACACATAGAATTTTTCTTTACAAGTGCTCGTCGTAATGTGCCCTATACAGCAACGTTTTTGCGCAGAAGAGTGGGATTAGAGAAATAACTTAACGGCTTGAGGTATTGTTTATTTACCGCACGCAAAAGCGTTAAGGTGTAGGGCATATTACGTGCACGCGTGAAGAAATATTATTTCTGCAATGCATGCTCTGCTCTGATTGGTTAGCTTCCAACATTCAACCGTAATTTCGATCGCAACAGAGCGCGCAACCTGTAGTGTGATTACGGCTTAAGGCCGGTAGCGAATCCAATGTTACGACTTCCTTATTGATTACGTTTTATGGCCTTACGTTTTTCTATGTGTTTCTGGTTTTATATTGCTTGGTAGTATGTTCTGTAAAAAAAAATGTATATTACTATTTTTATCAGCACATAATATGAAATTGAAATATACAAGATAACAGTGTGTTGTATATTTCACATGCATATATACTAATTGTAAGATTAGCGTCTCAGGGTGACACCTCACGGCGCTCCTAAATATTAAGAAGTCGATTCTTTATTATCGGCTAAATGCTCCGATTCCGCCGTGTCATATGTATCCCCACCGGGGACTCGCGGATAGCGCGCGCGTAAGTAGCAAGATCGCTCTGGGCAGACTCCTGTACGATTCTCCGAACCGGACACTTCGTTCGTGTATTTAAAAGAAGAAATATAGTACTCTGTTTAATATATCGTCTATATATCATTTCAACGTTCCGTTCCTCACCGATCTTAACCCGAAGGACAAAACAGCTGGCGACGAGGATGGGATTATCTCATAGTATAAAAATCACAAGCTGAACACGAGTGGCGAGCGTGACTCACATTTTTTTTTGTGTGAACGAATAGTGCTAGAGGATTCGATCCACGTGGCGAGAGTGAACGTTAGCCAAATTGGAAGGAAGATTTTAAAGAAACGTAAAAATGACCACAGGGGGATCGGGCACGAGTTTGGGTGTACAGAGCCCGGGCTCAGGAACAATTTCGGCGCAGAAAGTGGCAATTGCAGATCCGCTTCAGGTCGACGTGTTCGATCCGCAACGGCAGCCGTTAGTGAGATGGTTGTAGTTGGTTGCCTGGCTAATAAAAGCAAGAAGAAGAAGAAGAGTGAGATGGTTGCAGCGGTTGGAAGGGCGTTCCGTGTGTTTCAAATCATGGAAAATGCAGATCGAGCGGCTTATCTATTACATTTTGTGGGCGTAGAAGCTTTTGGAATTCTATGTGATCGATTCGACCCTGTCGATCCGTATACGCGTCGTATAATGCGTTAGTTGAAAAATTAGAGGAATTCTACGCACCAGAACCATTGGAGATCGCTGAGATATATATTTACAGAAAGCGTACGCAACGCTCAGAGGAGAGCGCACAGGAGTACATGGCCGCTCTTCAAAAATTATCGCTACACTGTAAATTTGGAGATTATCTGCAAACAGAATTGAGAAACCAATTTGTATACGGACTGAAGAATCAACGGATCCAGTCAAGGCTTCTGGAGACTGCCAATCTCACGAGGGAATCAGCATTAAAAATTGCTTGTGGCATGGAATTGGCGGAAAAAGAAGTCAGCAAATTAAAAGAAGAAAATCCGTTGGAAACAGTCGTTGATTTTGTTGGGGAAGGAGCAAAACACAAGAAGACAAAAGGCTGAGAGGATCGAAAAGGAAACAAGGCAAATCAACAAGGCCAAGGAAAGGACGCATCGTCAACAAACCGTTCCAATTTCAAACAGAATAATAAGTACAATAATAAGCGTTTTCACTCCAAATCTAATATTGTTTGTTTTAGATGTGGACAGGCTCATTTGGCACCGAACTGTACCCTTCCTCGGAACATCAAATGCAGAGAATGCGGTGGCTTTGGGCATTTACAGAAAGTATGTAAAAAGAAGGGACAGGCCCATTTGTTGGAGGAGGTTTTTCACATCGACGATATGGAGCATCTCGAATTCAGAACAAAATTTACGGTGCCCCTCTGTATTGAAAATAGAGTGATAAAATTCGACGTAGATTGCGGTGCGGCAATTACGCTGGTAAGCGATAATTGGCTTAAAAATCATTTTCCGAAATTAAAATTACATAAAACGAATTTAAAATTAAGGTCGTATTGTAAGCAAAATTTTGTGCCCCTCGGGTTTGTAAAAGTTAAAGTAAAAGATGCAAATCAAAATAAAATATTAAACATTTACGTAGTAAAATATGATAGAGACCCATTGTTGGGCAGAGAATGGATAAATCAATTAAAATCATTAGATAAAATTAAAAATAGTTTAAGGGAGGTAGAAGACATACAAATGTTAGACGTGTCGGATCAAAAGCGATTGGAAGATTTGTTAAAAAAATATAATAATGTATTAAGTGAGGAATTTGCTCATATTGAAAAATTTAAAGCCCATTTAAAATTAAAGCCAGAGACAAAACCAATTTTTATAAAAAATCGTACGGTACCGTTTAAAATTTTGGAAAAAGTAGAAAAAGAATTAGAACGCATGGTAGATGCGGGTATTTTAGAAAAAGTTGAGATGTCAAGATGGGCAACGCCAATCGTACCAGTTTTGAAAAAAGACAGTGGAATTAGAATCTGTGGTGACTTTAGTGTCTCAGTTAACCCGTCATTAATTGTTGATAAGCATCCGTTACCTACAATAGAAGAATTATTTGCATCTATGTCGGGCGGCACGATATTTTCACAAATCGACTTAAAGCAAGCGTATTTGCAACTACCGGTTGAGGAAACTGATAGAGAGATTCTCACGTTAAGTATGCACAAGGGATTATTTAAATGTAATAGATTAATGTACGGTGTGGCATCTGCGCCGGCTATTTGGCAACGAACTATGGAGAACATATTTTCCGGAATACCCGGGGTGGCAGTATTTCTCGATGACATTAGAATCGCGGGAAAAGATTTAGAACAACATTTGGAAAGATTAGAATCAGTCTTGAAACGTTTATCTGAACATAATATACGTATCAACGTCGAGAAGTGTGCTTTTCTTAAAGACGAGATATCTGTTACGTCCCTCCGGCCCGTATATTTCTTCTTTTCTTTTTCCTTTTGTATACGCGTTATATGCGTTTAGAGTTAAGTATAACATTAAGAAACTAATTGTAACTCTTCCTATTACCATCCTTACCATCATGCCTTACCAACATATCTTCATTACCAACATCCTCATTACCGACACCTTCCTTACCGACACCTTCATTACCCACATATTAATCTTAACCTTTCCACCACCTTTGACCCTTCCACCACCAAGATGATTCCCACTTCTAAACGCCCTACTCCTGGACACATCCTGGTAGGGACCTAAGCCTTAAAAAGGGCACAAGAGCGCGCAGAGCTCAGAAGAAAGAATTCAGAATCTTGACCTAGGTCAAGATTTACGGAAGAAGTCTTCCATTCAGATTCCAACTCCAATTCCACATCCACTAATTCAAATTCAAGTTCCATATCCGTAACTCTAACTCTTACTCTTACTCTTAATTTTATTCCATAATCTAATCCATATTTTATTCTATATTCCATACCCTAACTCATGTTCTTAATCCTAAGTCATAGTGTATAACTTTATTTTGCGTATAATCTTAAACCGCGAATATCATTTATATTCAGTTATTATTAGATTACTTTTATATTATATTAGGACCTTGAATAAGTTCTCGCTGTTTCTTCAAAGATGGCAGTAGCAGTACTCCGTGCATGGAATTTCGAATGGTAACGCACATGCAAGGAAGTACTGTATCTAACTTTACATTTCAGTGTATGATAGTTCACTTTAGTGTAAACAAAGTAATTTTTTATTAGTTCTGAAAATGTCTACTTTTGTGCTGAATAAAGTGTATTTGCGGGGAATTTTATTGCACTACTTTATTCAAAAGAAATCTGCAGTTGAAGCGCATAGAATTCTTGTTGAGACTTATGGTGACAATGCTCTGTCGGATACGACATGCAGAGACTGGTTTCGACGCTTCAAAAATAATGATTTTGAACTTGAGGATAAAGAACGTTCTGGCGCACCGAAAAAATTTGAAGACAAAGAATTAGAGCAATTACTCGATGAAGACCCATCTCAGACGCTACCAGAACTTGGAAAAATATTACAAGTTGATGAGTCAACTGTTTCAAAACGTTTAAAAGGGTTAGGAATGATCCAGAAGCAAGGACATTGGGTGCCGTATGAATTGAAGCCGAGAGACGTCGAACGACGTTTTGGCACGTGTAAACTACTGCTTCAACGGCAGAAAAGAAAAGGTTTTTTGCACCGTATCGTGACTGGCGATGAAAAGTGGATACACTACGATAAT